TAGATTGCACAGTGAATATGATGGATAGTGAGGATAACTCACCAGGTTGGGAGGAGAAATATTTGGATGCAGTCAAACTTTAACAGAATCTAAACACCCCCACTTTTCATCTGAAATTAAAATAACACCAAAATATATAAACAAGAACCAAAGATCAGGGAGAAACCATTAAATCCAAAGTGGGTGTTTTACTGATTATTAAAACTCTGTATTGCTTTAACCCTAACTTTTACCCCTCCACTTCTCCTATTCTGTTCTCAGGCCCACCTTTCGTTACTTCACCTGGCATACGTGCGTGTTGGGCATCGTGGGTTGCGCCGTCATGATGTTCCTGATCAACGCCATCTACGCCTCGGCCAGCATTGCCTTCATGCTGCTGCTGCTTCTGCTGATTCACTACCTCAGTCCCACCTCCAGCTGGGGCTACATCAGCCAGGCTCTTATTTTCCACCAGGTCTGACACACACATACACACACACTCACACACACACTCTCAATGCTGCATTGTCATTACTAGAGCAACTAAAATCTCATCCCCTCAGCTTTACAAGAGCCTGTACCTCTGCCAAGCAATCGTTCTATCAGGTTTATAGAGACATGCAGACACACACAGACACACACAAACATAGACAGACTGATCTCTGCTGTCTCTCCCTCAAACAAGCCCTCTGCATTTAGCAGACAAACACACACACATTTTCCCTTGCTCTCTTTTCTCACACATACACACAACACTGCCTTGTCATTCCTACAGCAGCTATCTATCACTTTTATATCAGCTTTACCATAACACACACACACACATACGCATCTGCATCTTTTCCCTCAGCAAACCTCTCTATATTTATTACACACACACACACACACACACATACGAACACACACGCACACACACACACACATACAAACGTACACACACACACAGAGCTTTACATCATCCAGCTCTCCATGTCCTCTATCTGGCGAGCCTGTTGCTCTCAAGGAGAGGGGGCATCGTTGCCAGGAGGGCCCGTTGCCGAGGGGAACCGTTGCCAAGGCTGCGGGCAGGGGTTGTGGGCAGGGAGGGTGAGGGTGGTTGGGTTTGCCAGCAGCTTGTCAGGAGGCAGAACATTATTACAACCACTTAACTTATTGAGCTTTTCCTCCTGTCCTCCTTCCTTTTTCTCATCCTGTTCTCCTTCTCTCCTTCCTCTGCTGTTTCTCTTAAGCCAAGACAGCAACTACAAGCAGGGGTGGGGCCAATCTGATTGACCACCCATAGTGCTATTTAAAGTCAGAAGGTGATAGGTAGTCGGCTTATTAGTATCATGGATGGATTACTGAAGAGGCCTACTAGGTACAGGCCCAGGGCCCCTGGACCAGAGCCTCTGTATGAAGAGATTATTAACACACAAGACACACAAAACAACTACAAAGCAAATGCAAAACAGCCACATATCAACACACAAAATGACCCAAAAAAAGCATATAACAACAACAAAGAGACACGCAAAGTGACCACAAAACACACAAAACTACCACAAACAGACACATAAAAAGACTACAAACAAATGCAAAATGGCCACACATGAACATGCAAAATGACCACAAAGAGATGCAAGACAACAAACACCACTTGTGTTATTAAACGATGACGTCTTTTAAGCACAAGACAAAACTCAAATTCATTCAGAGTTGTTTTTTTGTTGTCTCTTTGAGTCTGGATGTCTAGCTCCTATGCAGGACGGGTGTGGGGCCTTTTACAAGTCTGTGTCCAGGACCATTGTCTCATAATCTGTCTAATACTGTAGACTATTTAGAGTTATAGCAATATATTATTTCAGATTAAAATAAAAGTTGTTTATTTGGCATTCATGTATTACAACAAATGAAGAATTAGGGTTAGTATTATAATATTATTAATAATGTATAGTTTATTATTGCCAAGACTCAAGGATTTATAAGTGCGCAAACACATTTTTACTCATTTAGAAACTTACTTACCTCCTTTCTTTAAAAAAGGGCCCCAATATGCAGATTACACTAATAGGACTAGCAGAAGAGGCCAAGTCTGAGTATATCTCATACATGCACTCATCTTCTGCTCCTGCACCCCCCAACAGTAGCCAGTGTGGCAGGGTGCCAACTGGGTGACATTGAAGCAGGGACAGGGGACACAACAGCTCACAACAACAAAAAACACACTGGGAGATAACAGACGGCTGACAACAGTGTTTAGGAGAGAAAGAGAACAAAGAAAAAGACAAACTGAGGCAAGAAATGTTGATAGTATCATGGGAGGGGAAGATATAGACAGAATATAAGCAGGCAGAGGGGATGAGTGATTGAGAAACTAAGTGATGGATGAGACTGAAGCGACACAGAAATGATGATAGCCTGATGGATGAGAAGACAGGGGGAAATGGAGAGATAAAGAGAGACAGATGATGAGATGAGTGGAGGCAGTTGGACTTCGCCTCTGAGGCCTAGTTTTTTACGGCAATTAGCGGACGGGAGCATGAAAACAGTTATGGTGATTATGATGGTAATAATGTTGGAAACGGTTGCATCTTCATTCTTGATTGATGGCTGTATAGACACAAACGTACACTCAGCTGCTTCAGGACCTTGAGCTAAACTTGTATCGCCAAGACAGTCATTAGTGGCACAAATGTTCTGGTTCTTTTTTAGGCTAAATCCGTAAGTGGAGCTGCAACACAAGGAAAGTGTCATTTTCTACAATTTCAAAACATTGAGTCTATTAAACGCACCCTGAAAGTATTTTTAGTCATTCTCAAGTGACGCTCCTGCTTTAATTGGCTAGAGCTATAGACCCCACTCCCTCCCCCTAAATGTGAGGTGATTGCTTGACTCTAGTAAAGTTCACTTTCTTCACGACCCGCTCTGCTTGCGTCGAGATGGATTGCTCTCCAACTTTGTAACACCAAGACAGTGTTACTCACTGCACTTTCAATAAGGACCATTCAAGAGTATGAAATGAATGTGGTGAATTCGACAGTGTAAGGAGCAGCTTTAACATGGCGGACATGCCGTCACTGAGCTAATAGTCATTAATGCCAATGAGGGTATAAATGGAGTGTTAATCATTCCTAGTAGACTGTAGGTTTAGATCTAATGTTTGGTTCCACTTGGTTACATTTCCTTAATGGTACCCTGATGCAACCTCATCAACACAGTCTCAGAATCTTAATGACGGTTGTGTTATAGTGTGCATTGAAACTGATGCACGCTAGCAATTAAGCGCACACTCAGCAATCACAGAGGGCGACATTTTTACCTTTAAGAGTTTGATTGACACAAGTGTATGCATGCGTTTACGCATACACACAGACGGAACAAATATATACATACACACAACCTTTGGTCCCTGCCACAGACTCTTATTTGAATGAGATGTTGATAAACCATGTAATGTGTTTCTACATGAGAGAAGCTACAATACAACAGCACATACATACTTGTATTGTACTTGGACAGTGGTCACTGTGGCAGTGTGACAGTTACATCATAAAAATTGAGTTTACTTCTTATTTTACTTTTGGGATAAAATAATTGAAATGTTGTGTGACATTAACACACATAAAGTGAGTCAAAAAGTCAGTGAACTGATTAAGTAATGTCAGTTAAACAGCAATATCTAAGTAACGTTTGCTAACATCAGCCACCATAAGCAAGTACGGCTACAACACAAAACACTTGTCATTTTTAACATCATATGTAAGAGGAAGATTGTGCTGTTTCTTCTTTCAAAAGTTACATGGCCTCACTTAAAAGTAGGTAGGTAGACAGCCACGTAGGCCAGCCAATTCGGGCAGAATGAAGTAATTGGATTGGGCTTATTACAGACCTGTGACTGCTACAGGTACCAGATTTTTTTAAATTTAAACTAGTTTAGAGCATTTGATTTATTGATTGCTGTCGGGATGTAAAGAGAATTTCAACAGATATGCCAAAAATGCTTCTGAAATATATTACCTACTCTAACTTTAAGTCAAAAGATGGACAGGAAAGTCCATTGATCCATATCATGCAACTAATTTGCTTAACTGAGTTTCTTGGCAGCTCATTCAGGTTATTGAAATCACTTTCATCCAGTCCACTCTGACGCTGCCAGATCTGCCGTGATGGCTTTTGAGGGATTTGTTTTTCTTATGTATTTGCCTTTAATCCCAAAGACATCAGAGAATAAATATCTGGGCATGTTAAATCACATTTTGGGAACAATGCTCAGTGAAATGAAAGTGGTTGGTTGGTGGCCGTTGATCATATCACATGATCTTCATCAACAGATGACAATGTTATGGAATTTGCAATGTAATAAGCTTAAGTTACTAAATTGACCTTGTGGTGAAATTGTTTTGTCATTTGCATATCTGCCAGTTTAGTAGTTCAGGTGTGTGAGTTTGTGGCCATCTGGAAAAATGTCTAAAAATGTTTTTATCAGTTATTTTGTGCACCAGCCAGGAAACTAATATTCCTTTAGTGTTTCAGTGGTATTTTATTATCATCCTTGTATTCTGATGAATTCCACACAATAAACTTCCTGAAACAGGTGAAATGAATTTTGATTCATTACCTCATTCTAAACCTGACTATACTATAGCTTTTGATAGTCTTCAGCTAAAATATATAAACAAGCTGTGAAGTTGAGGGGCTCAAATATACACTCATACCATTAAAATATGCAGTACCTGCATCTCTCCCTACATCAAATAAGCTCTTTCAGTGTTGTTTCTAAAGGGTTTTACTTAACAAATGTATTTTCCTTGTGCAAAAGAAATTATATAATGTAAATGTGAAATTGAGTATTGGGTTTATTATACACTGCTGCATGAACCCCATGTGAAATCTTAATGCACCAATGATCCATTAAAGTTACTTCCCCTTTCTGCACACGTCTCCAATCAATGACGAAAAGCAAAAGGTGAAACCGACATTAAATATATGATTGATTATCTTCATGTCTATATATGGCCAATTTCTCCTTGCTTAATTAAAACCCTGCAATGATTTTGCGAGCAGAAGGATTGTCACAAATAAAATCTGTGGGCTGGCAAATACGTGTTATGCAGAAAATCTCCACTGCAAGTGTTAAGCATGTTTGTGCAAGTTACATCACCTGCATGGAAGTTCAGTGGTCCAGAGTCCACTGGTAGGATTGCAGGGTTAAATAAGAAGGAAGACAGGGGTGAAGATAAACATGTTTCACAATAACAACCCTCACCCCAATTCTCTCGACTCCTCATAGGTGCGTAAGTACCTGCTGATGCTGGACGTGAGGAAGGACCACGTCAAGTTCTGGAGGCCTCAAGTCCTGCTGATGGTTTCCAACCCTCGCAGCAGTGTGGGCCTCATCACCTTCATCAACGACATCAAGAAGAGCGGCCTCTACGTGCTGGGACACGTCCAGCTAGGAGATCTCAGTAAGAACACTGAATTTCAGTTCAGCCTCCAGAAACTGACCCGCTGTTAAGTCTCTGATTATGTTCGCCTGTGATGCCTGTTACATTTTATTTACTTAACACCCAGTACAGCCATGATGGAAATCAGTTAGCTTTCCTGTGAACCATCGAGAAAGTACTCTGTGAAGTTCTTTTGCGTGACAACAAAAGCTCATCAGGAGTACTTTTACTTCTGCACCATTTCTCATCTAAACCGGCACAGTGTGACAGGGCAACTATTAATTATGAGCAAAACAAATCAGGACTGGTGATGGGATATAGTTTTTGCATAATTTAACATTATCATGACATTTAGACAAAACTAAAAGCGTGTTGGTTTTTTTGACAGTGAGTATTATTGCTGAATTTTAATAGCTATTTGTTGTACGACTCTTCTAGAACATGTAGCAATATTGCCATTTTACTTAAGTGTTTTCTCTCAGAACCAGCTCAAAATAACTGTAAGGTCTTTTCAAAATGTGTAAGTATACAAATTATCAAAATGCCTGAAGCAGTGCATCATTCAATGGATCTTTTCAGCATGCTAGACCTTTTTTCCATGACATCGGCTCGTCTGCCGCTCTTTTATTTCGAGGGAAGCAATCATGCGCACAATGCTCTGGAGGCGTCTCCTTTCTTTTCTGCAGAGGACCACACTTGACTGTAAAGGAGCAGGGTCATTGATTGTTTTCTTTGTCTTTCGAGGGTTTTGTTGGGGAGGGTTATGTGTTGATGGGATACTGGGACTGGCCCTAAATGGAGTCTTCAGAATCCAAATCCTCTTCATCTGCTTCACAGTGGCAAAAAAAAAGACATGTTCATTAGCCACTCAAGAGCCCTTCTCTCATTTTGAGCACTGTCAAGGCTCTTGGTCTTGAGAATTATGAAGGAGTCATTCATTCACATAATTGCACTGAAGAGGAGTTTGTTGTCCTCGTAATGTATTAGGAGGTTTGTCCATTTGTTCTCTCACTTGTCTGGCAGCTGTGTGCTTTAACGCTGAATGCAAAGGATACAACAGTGTTAGAAGTCGGAAGAGGTCCTAACGCAGCTTAAACTACCACAGGAATTTTCTCTGAAGCTCGCAGATGTGGCCTCTGCATTTCTCTCTACATACATATTGATGGTTTTTTTGGATGATTGATCACCTGCCTGCCTGTTTGTGCTCCCCTGTATCTTTCTCTCTGTCTCACATTCTGTCTGCGCTGTCATTTGTGCTTGCATCTTTCTCTCTCTGCGCCCCCCCACATCTCAGCATCTTGTCTCGTATCTCTCTCACGCTGTGCCTCTAATTCCAGCACTGTCATACTGACTTCTCTGCTCTTTCCTTTGACTTGTATATCAATTGTTCTTGGCCTTCTCTTTCCTTTACCTTCTTTGAATCCCAATATGCTTCTATTGAACTGTCAGCTATATTTCTAACGGCATACTTTTTTGTTTTCTTCCACCCCCCCAGACACCTTACCGTCCGACCCTCTGCAGTCCCAATACGACTCCTGGTTGTCCCTAGTGGACCACCTGAACATCAAAGCTTTTGTCAACTTGACGTTGGCTGATTCTGTGCGTCATGGGATCCAACATCTCCTCTTCATCTCTGGACTAGGTCAGTGTCACCATCACCTTCACAAAAGGTGCCTGTCGGTCAGTAACTATACTGGGGAGATATCTGGCATTACAGCTGCTGATAGCTTAAGCAGATTTGTGTGCTGTGATTTGAGATTTCTGTCCTTTTACAGGCACTAAAATTACAATTGAAGCCGCTATGTGAAGTATTTCTATGTGATCACAGTATTTTTCAGAGTTTTTGTTTGGATAATCCCTTCAAATTCTACACATAGTGGCCTTAAAGCTTCAGTTTCAAACCAACACTTACGCCTTTCATTGGAACTATCAGCACTTCCATTTTACTTTCATTTTGTTTCAGCTGCCACATCAGTTTCTTTTAGTGCTTCAAATGTCAAGTACAACATCATGGCCTTAAATATGTAAAAACCTGCTATTACTGCATTTAAACACATTATAACAGTTTCAGATGTTTCCACTGCACATTTTAGCTCACACATTTAAATCTTATAAAGACCAGCCAATTTTTCTAGTTTATTTATTTCAGCTTGTTTCCAGGCACGTATTGTACTTCAGGTGTAGTTTTTCTTCTGACTGGAGTTTTAATCTTTGTTTTAACACTACACTAATATTTGGGAATGCTCTCCTCTTCAGTAACACCCACTTTAAACTGTAAATAGCTTTGACTCTTTCCTTGTTATTTGCTGTCTTCCTGCTTTCCTGAGAATTGTCACTCTTGTCTAACTTTGACCAGTCTTATTTTCTCCAGCCCTCTCTCTTATCTCTCTTTGACTTCCCTCCAGTTCTCACTCCACCACTTGTCGTCTTCACAGCTGTCTTACTTTCCTCTGATAGGAGGACTGACCCTCTACCTCTACCCTTCACTTAACTACTCCAAAAATCTATGATAATGATAAAGAAATGATTTGCATTAGATTGTAACAAAAGGTCTTGTCCCTCATTTTTCTTTTCTCCTCTTTCCAGGTGGGATGCGTCCTAACACCCTTGTCCTCGGTTTCTATGACGACTGTCTCCCAAAGGACAAGCTGATTGATCCGTCGCTGTCTACCATCCAGTGCACCGATCCCTTGGGCCCCTTGCAGGAGCTTGAGCAGCAGCCCCCCCTTTTCCACTTTGCCTCCCTGCGGGGGTCCAGCGACAGACAAGATTATGGTGAATTTGGAGACGGGAAGGTTCTAGGACCCCAGGAGTATGTAGCGATCATTGCCGACGCCATGAAGATGCTGAAGAACGTGGCGCTTGCCCGATACTTTAACAACTTTGACCGAGCCCAGGTCCTCTCCCCGCCCTCCTCCTCTCCAGGGAAGGGAGCTGTGTACGTTGACGTCTGGCCGGTGAACCTCCTGCGTCCCGACAGCAGTAGCTACGTCGATACCTGCTCTCTGTTCCTGCTGCAGCTAGCGTGTATCCTGAACATGGTGAGAGCCTGGCGCAAAGCTACGCTCCGTCTCTTCCTGTGCGTGGAGCAGGGACGAAGCGTGAGAGGCTCGGAGGAGAAGCTGGGCCAGCTGTTGAAAGAGTTGAGAATTAAAGCTCAGGTCTATCCCGTGCCCTGGGACCAGCAGGTGGCGCTACACTGGCAGCGCCAAGGCGATTGGGGCAAGAAGCAGCAGTCGCAGTTCCCTGATACCACTGAAGAAGAGAAGAAGCAGAAAGCAGAAATGGAAGAGGAGAACGAAGACGATTACGTTAATAGCTTCCCGAGCAACGCCACTCGCCTGTCCGATGACTACCTGTCAGCTGTCAATAAGCTGATCCTTGACACGGCCCAGCCCGCCCCTGCTGTGCGTTTCCTGTACTTGCCTCGCCCCCCAGCTGACACTAGCCGCTACACCACCTACTTACACCAGCTGGAGCTATTGACCCAAGACCTGGGCCCCACACTGCTCATCCACGGCGTCACGCCTGTCATCACCACTGACCTTTGAACGATACCCCTCCCTCAGGTGCTGAGGGCTGGTGAGTTGAGCAGTGTCCCCACCAGCTGCTGATGTTCTCTCTGAAGGTGTGTTGACCACTTTTAGTGCAGCATCACTGCAGAGCTCCGCAGTGCCCCTGTACTGACCTCTCCACCCAACGACAGACTGGGGAAAAGTAAACTGCCTTGAAATTTGACCCAGACAGGGACGCCACTGCTGACTCATTGATACCATCTGCACTGCCTCGCAAAATTACCGTAGAACACACAGTCTCTAGAGATACAGCCTATTTTTAGAATATTTAAAATGAGGACTGGATGATATACTTTGATTCCAAAAATCCTGACTGTCTACATGTTTAACCCTACTTTATTTTTAATGTTTTTTCCACTTGTAGTTCTGGTACTCCCATCAAGCTTCTGAAGGCGCAGTGATGTTAATCTTTTAGATCAACCTTGTTGCAATTTAAGCAATCAGAAACAATCAGACTGTGATTAAACAAACCAAAGTGAACTAATGTACAACCTGCCAAGCAGGAGAGTTAAAAGCAGTATAAAGTAGAATAGGATATTATTTTTTAATCCATTTGCACCCATGTTACAATGCTCATCAATGGTCAGAAAGCTGACAGACCCACAGGGGATCATTCATATTGCCAGCCCACCTCCATCACTCACCAGCTACTTCTTCATCCACACAGTAGAGAGAGTGCTCTAATTCCTGATACATTCTAACCTGAATTGGCAGTGTTCCCTGACTCCCCTTTCGTGAAATGCTTTCTTGGTGTGCTGCTGCTCAGATTCCTTAAAATGATCATTCCATATGCCTTCAGATCAAAAAGTGCCTTGCCTGTTAGGGAGCAAAAGTTTGGACTCATTCCATCACGGACAGAAAGTTGGACTGCGTTACACCTTGAGCAGTCATTTGCAGGAAATCTGCTTTTCCATTTTAGCAGCTTAAACAAAGGAAATAGTTTAACACAAACGTCTACGGTGCTACTATGGAAGTCTTCAAAGTTTTATTCCAAAAATGATTTTATGTGGGATCTCAGGAAGACATTCCTCCTTTTTTCCAAATGCACTTTTGTTCTTCCTCTGCCAAACTGCATGTTGTGCAGCTCCTTAAACATGTTTACAGCGCCAATACCTACTGTGATTACCCACCACATTTTATTGATTGTTTTTATGTATTTTAGGTACTCTGTAACTTTTAGAATTGTTTTTACTCACTAGTGACCAAATTGCTTGACCGACTCAACACTGATGTGCCTACAGTAAATTAATTTTAATATTAGCTCAACTCTACAGCCTCAGCTTTTACTTTAAGTATTTGTAATGTTTAAAGTGAACTTTCGCTGAACAGTGGCCACAAATGGCATTTACTGGAAACTGGTAAATACTAAAACATAGTGTACCAGTAGCACAAGAACAGACAGACGCACAGCGATATCTATTTAAGGAAAGTTTGCTAACATTAGCCTCAGTGAGCTGCTGTGAGGCTGTAACAGCAAAACCCCTGAGTGTACTGACTTTAGAAAGGTACTTTTTATTGCTTATACATTCAACTTGTCATTTGTAAGAGAGGAATGTGATATTTCTTCCATCAAAAGTTACATAAGCATCACCGTATTACAGTGTCGTACTTCCATTCCCTGACATATCAATAATGCAATCTGTATGCTCTAAAATCAGTGTGAGTTGCAGGTTTATTGTAAAAGAAATAATCTAAAGGGTTGGCATCCTTGAAGTTTGAGTCTCTGAAGTCTGCACAAATAGATTCTTTCAGTTTAAAAGATTTGTCCTGACAATCTTCATCACACTGACTTTGACACAAATGTGAGGTTCAGATCCATATTTGAAGACAGACTGGTACTTGGATTTGGACTAATCTCGATCTCCCTGTGTTTGAAATGAGAGATATGTTTACTTGTAGACCAACTGGATCCTATTTCCACAGGTGGGTTCTTGTTTGGACACTACATTCCTCAACAAACCATTGTCACTACATTACTTCAAATCTTTGGCTCATGAACTCACAGGAGTGCAAAAAAACAGCCAGCACCTGCAGGACACACTGGTTTACTGCAGAGATGAAATGTTCAGTGTTTGATTTTCTGTTGAAATCTGAAAATATATATGTATACTTTACAAGATGTAAACTGAAATGACATAAAAAAGAAAAGTGGTATTACGTGTCTTTCCTTTTTTGTTTTGTTTTTTTACTTCCTCGGGAGATTGTTTTCGAAAGCCAGATCAAACTTAACAACCCCTCAGAGCGTCCTGACTTTGTTTCATTTCAGCTGAAGACCAGTTTGTGCGTCTCAGAGCTCAGAGCTGAGGGGTTTTTGCGTCCGCTGCACTTGTTTGTTTGAGGTAAACTTTAGAAATAGAGGCTGAGATAGCTCAGCAGCTCAGACAGAGAGATACTGGAGGGTGCCAGCCAGCCAAATTACCTTGTCCTACAGTCACCCTCGCCGCCAACCAGGCAGAAATGGATTCCATCTCCGCTCTGAGGTGAACAACAGATTGGAGAAATAAGCCCAAATAACCATCGATATCTGTTCAGGAGGAGGGAGGCTGACATTTATCACTGAGGGAAGGACCCCGGCTCTGAGAGGATTTGGTGTGTGTGTGCGGTGTGCGTGCCTGTGTGCAACAAGATAGATTCAGGTTTTCTTTATATGTTCGTGTGAGGTTAATAAAATACTTCCATGAAGAGAAATGAGTCTAAATACTGGTGACAAATGCATACACACCAACTGTGCACAAGTGATGGTGTTCACAGACATATAGCAACCAGTTTAAACAAAAAACTGTTTTACAAAAAAATACAACCCACCTTGAATAAATGATTCTGCATATATAGTCCTGTTCATTCATCTCAACATTTGCTTCCTGTACATATAAATAATCTCATTGAAAGTGTTTTTTTTGGTTTAATTTGCATATTGTCGAATGTGCGTACAGATCATCTGACAGGTGTGGAAAGTGTTACACCTGTTGAGGAGTTTTGAGACTCTTCACAGCCCCCCATTCACAAATCCATGTCGCATTTAAGTGCTGGCGGAAAAAACTTGAACGGCGAGCTTTTCAGTGCATTTCATGTGCAATTTCCCCTGGGTGATACTGTCGATGGGTGGGCCCTGTTCGTCACATGTTGATAACTGATGTTCAACTGTAACATTGTGTTGGCCTTTTGTCATTTGAACAGTATGTATTTAAATGTATGGAGTTTACTGGCATTGTAAGTACAGACTTAATCCACATGGATAGAAACAACTTATTTTAAATTCAGAATAAGTTAATTAACTAAAGTTAAATTATTTAAATATGACTGAATGTCAAACTCTGTTTAATCTAATATCATCATGAATAAAATCTACTCTATTTGGAGCTCACCATCACTCACAGTATGAACTCATTCACTCATAACAACTGTAACAACCATTGCGTGGAGACATAGTGAAAGCACAATGTAGAACCAAATAACACCAGTAACAAGAATGCACATACAGTATAATGCCACCCAGTGCTGGGGTCAGCAACCTTTGCAAGACAGATAATAATCCATTTCAATTTGAGGCTTATAATGCTAACATCTCATCATCAAGCATACCAGTAAGGTGATGAAAGCAAACAAATCCATCCAAGCACTATTACATTCTTTATTTTCCTCTGAAACGTTTTCTTTTTTTGGATTTGGAATCCATGGCTAGCTTAGTTATGGAGACTCAAGACTACTGAGGTTTGCTAAAATATATGCGCCAGGTCAGGACGTGACATATGACTCACATTTTTTGATGAAATGTAACATGTTTTTATTCAGTGTGTAATGACTACACAGTTTTACAATTGGAGGATGTAATAATTATATTAGGCCTACAATATTAATATATGAAAATGTGAGTTTCAACTCTACACTTTATTTCAAAGTAAGAGTAAATAATCAAGATAACTTCATCCAGGATTAGTAAATCAAGCAGGATCATTTTATCCCGATGACACCATGTTAACCTCAATTAGTTGAGCCATGTTTGAAGAACTGGACCCTGTGCTGGTCTGGTCGATAAGCATGTCTATAGGGGTCAGGGAAGGGACATAGCAGTACAGTATAACAGTATGAGTACAGTCAGATCTGTGCACTGAAACATTCTGTAAATAAATGGCAAAAAATAATTTTAGACATTTACATGCCCAAAGCACAAGTTATCTATGAAATTGAAGTTTGGAATATATATGTAGAGATGTATTCAAGTTGTATTTATTTGTTCAAACTGGTTGGTATGATTGTGGACTGGAAAATGTATATGTAAAAGTTATTTTTAATTCTGGATTCTGAAACACGCTTATTTGACACTAATTTCTCTCCTTATACTTCAGGCTTCAGAAATACATTTTACATTCAAAGTGTTTCGTCTGTTAAAATAAAAAAGCTGCAGGCCACAGAAAACAAGAGATGGTGACAGGAAGGAGGAGGGTGGCTGTGGCAGAGGAGAGGAACCGCTCACCCAAAGGGGCTTTCCTAAATGTGTGTGTGACAGAATCAAAGATGGAGACCATCAGGGCCGAGTGTGTGTTTGCCTCCAAGTCCAAAACTCTGCTCTGTCATGTCTGCAGCCCTGATCAGAGGAAACTTGTCACTACCTTGTCACTTCCACCGTATGTCATAGCCCTAACCCCCAGGCACGCCACCGGGATACACACACACACACACACACACACACACACACACACTTTATCACTTATAATTTCTGTCGCACTTTCCATTTCATCTCCCTCCCTGCATCTTCAGATCCACTTAATTTTACATGACACACAGATTGCCAGAGTCATCAGATGGATCAGAGGGAGAGATGGAGGGGGGGAGGTGGGTGGGGTGTCAAGTAGAATTTAGTTAAGGTTTTTCGGAGGCCAAACAGACCCCTGGCTTTTCCCACATATCATCTTTGCATTCCAATATGCAGAATGTGTGTGTGCACATTGAGATTACAGTGCAAGGGCATTTAAAGAGTTCAGCACAGCAGACGTAGTCTGCTTGCTAAAGCGTCTAAAGCACTTCTTCCCTGCTGTGACTGTACGGCTACTGTATGTTTTTAGCAGCGTGGCACTAAGCATGCTCTGAGTTGAGTGTGCATACATGTGTTTTGTGCTCCTTATTAACCAATAATATAATAACCAATTCCACAGGAAAGTGCACTAAGTGAGCTAAAGTGAAGGCAAATCTTTTTTCTTCATGTCATATCGCAGCTCCATTTTCTTCATGAATATGAGCTCAGTGTGTGTGTGTGCGTGTGTTGCTCAGCCAGTGGGCACCTCATTGTGTATTGCACTGGTACCCGAACCTTTTTACTTAAGGGATCACTTTTCCATCATTTACTGACGACTGAATAGAACAATGGCCAAACGCTAGGGACAAAAAAACACTGAATTTGTTTTTTAAAAAGAAGCCTTTTAAGTCTGTATGATTGCAATTTGCAAAACACATAATACAGACAGAGAATTTATAAAAAAGTTCCCTAGAAAATAGAACAGAAAATAGATTCATCCAAGTGCCATTGTTTTACACAAACGTCTTTGAGTTCACTGTTTGGGTTCATTGTACAGTTTTGAATGTAATATGAAATCTGTCACTTAGTCATAAAGATAGAAAAGGGTCCCTTAAGGAACAAGGTTGGGAACCACAGCCCCTAGTGGGGTCCCGATCCCCTGGTCTGGATCCACTGGTGTATTGCTCTGACATACATTATAAATAGTGTGAAACCTGTGTGGGATTTTTTAGGTAAATATTTTGAATCGGCCATCACTTTCTTACAGAAGGTATTCAGTGTTTGACCTGCAGTGTTGTAGACCGGACTCGAGATGTGTTTTCTGCTGTCTTGCCCATGGCCATTGGTCTTGGCAAATATTTCAGTGCACTTTCAGTTCAGAAAACTGGTATTAATATAGTGTAATTAGTGTAATTTAATTCAAACTCCATCCAGAATAGACACTCACAAAGGCAAATGCATTCTTCTTTTCTGTCTCTGTCTTTCTCATTTGGTCTTGATTTGAACTCAAACCTCTTTGGTCTCAACTTGTCTTGGACTCAAGACATTTGTAATAAATTGTGTTTTACATTTTAGATGGGAATTTAACATGGTACTGAGATATTTTACTTCGTAAACCTGTTGAATACATTGAGCATTAACCTTTGAGAACTGTGAAAGCTGGGTAACTGAGGACAAAGTTCTACCAGTTACTTACAGTAAATAGAGGTGCATGTACAGTATAGAGACGTGTCAGCAGAGAGCCGAGAACCTGACCTTGCGTTTTAAAAGTCTGACACAAGTATGTAAATAAGTGGTCTTGGAATACAGGTCTCCCTCTAAATTACAAGAAAAGTGGCTGCTTTCAGTTTTGTACACATTGTCAACACACCTTTAAATCTCCAGACTTGAAGTGGTTTACTGTTTCATAAAATCTAGCGTGTATCAAGTGTGATAATATGACAGTTTTGGCCACATGATTTGCACATCAGACCTGCCCCCCATCAACGCTCACCCTCCAGTCTTTTCCTACAGAAAAGCCTTGATTTACCAAACTAAAACTTATTGTAGCAGGACACTAAAACTTTTCATCAACACCCAGTCTGATAGTGGTATCATTCATGCCAGAGTAGCAACACTGACAGCACTATTCTTGCAAATGTAACACACACTTCACTCTTCACAGACACTTCTGTGTGTTGTGTCTAAGCGGGAAACTTGATAAGCTGTTTAAACTCAAACAGCCAACATCTCACCAGGTTGTGCGTGCACTTGTTTGAATAAGGGAATTGAGTTAGAGTAGAGCTTAAAAACGCAAATCTGCAATGTTTATCCACCCTTTGCAAACTAAGGGAAAAAAGTGGATGTATTGAACATCGTTTGAGATGACTTCAAACCTGTGATGTATCCTCTGGATGTGGGTTTCATATACTGGACTGGGGGAGCACAAAATGACTAGTTTATAACGGACTATTAAACGTAGGCCTTAGAGAGTTATGGTGTAATGAGTGAAATTGATATGGAGTGCACAATATAGGAAATGCAGAGGAAATACTGTTTAAATATCAAGCTATGGATTCTATAGACCCTGGTGGTGATGACGAACATTGAAGTGGAAGCTCTGGATGGATGTGACGTGCAGAGTTCATTAGATTGACCTGCAGCTGGACACACTGGGTCTGGGTGGAGGTGTGTTTCACCAGTGCAGCACTGAAATGACACCTGATGGGGGGGTCATGAAAGGTTTTAATTCTGATAGCAACAAGATGATTGGTTACTAGAGCTCAAGGCTATATCCAATTGGTTGAAGTGAACAGGGGAAATGCTCACAGAAGGCTGATTGAGCTGGAGGCACAAAAGAAACAAGAAAAGCATTAATCAGAGAGAAATTCAAACCACAGGAAGGGTTTGGTAAAATGATTTTTCTTTCAGCTGTAAGTGTAATTACCGCTAAGCCTCATGGCTACCAGCGACTAGGCCATACATAGGAGACACAAGAAACACAAGAAAGGACTGAATGGTAGGCCCTCTCCAGTCCTCTTCTCAGATTAACAACTGTGCATCGAGCCCAGTTCATTCATTGTCCATCATGTGCTCCACAAAAGGAGTTACATTTGCAGCAGCACACCACCCTTCTGTACTCACACTCCCCCAGTGTCTGCCCTTATTAGCTTATATTACATAAGACCTTGCGATTGACAACCAATCAAAATGATAACGGACAACCTGTGATTGTGACGCATAGAAGGAGTCTTTTTGATTGAATTTTTCCGAAGTTTCATACATGCTCTTTAAAATAGTGTAGCCCTGCTGTAAATACCAGTTTAATAAAGAAACGTGTCCAGGTGCCCTATAGTTCACCTGGTAGAGCTGGTCCCCCATGTAAAAGGGTTAGTT